GTCAAAACAAACAATTTTATAATAATTTTTGGGGCATGTTTCATAGATGAGTCATGGTGGCATTGATACTTGAGAAACCTATGTAGAAATACTTGACCATAATTTCTGCGAAACCCATAATATGGCTAAGAAGATTAGTTTAGGCTTTTCACTATAAAAAAACATTCAAAACAGCTATTCCTGTGAACTGGTCATCAAGCAGTTGGCCCACTGGATCAGAAAAAAGACATTCAAAACAGACAATTTTATAATAATTTTGGTTTTAAGGTTCCCCCAACTGGTAAAAACTGATAGGTCAGCAGGTCAATGGGTGAACATAGGTGTCCCAGCTAGATCTTAAAACACTAGACTCAAGCAGGCCGAATGCTAATTTACTGATCATATGTTTGTTAAACATCATCTGTTTTGCAAGAAGTTCCTGGGCAGAAGTAAACCCATCCTATCATGTCTCAGAAGATTTAGGCCTTGGCGCCCTTAGCAGAATTCTGCCACTGTGAAAATTAGATTAGTTGCTCCTTCTGGAGTGGCACTAAACTAGATTAATCAGTGTGGTGGCCTGGTATGTCCACTGCAGATGTTGCACCTGCTCATGCTACCTTATCCAACTCTGAGATAGAGGAAACTGTGGTTTCTAATTGCTTGTTTCTTCATCTTGTTGTGTTGTACTTCCAAATTTATCATATAATTATACATTTTAATCAGCAAATAATGAATCTTCTCTTAGATACCACTATAATGTAGCGGATGCAAGACTTCAACAACATATAGTAAAAGGAATGGAAGATGGTTTATATATCAGTTGTGTGGCATCTTCAGCAAATCTCTGGGCCCTTATTATGGATGCAGGAACAGGTTTCAGTTCCCAGGTTTATGAATTATCACCAATGTTCTTGCATAAGGTATTTCAAAAACAAATGTGCAAGTTCCCTCTTTGAGGTGTTAATTTATAGGTTTGGGCACAATGACTCTAGTCTATCTTGTTTTGTTTAGGATTGGATTATGGAGCAGTGGGAGAAGAATTATTACATAAGTGCAGTAGCTGGTGCCACAAATGGGAGTTCATTAGTTGTAATGTCTAAAGGTTTGTGCAGAATGTTACTGTATAAAAGTACCTTTCAGATTGCAAATTTCTTATTGTTCTGCAAACACCTAATTTTTATATTCTTTCCATTTCTTGCAGTAATATTGCTTGAGCTTCTTTTTCTTTACAGATGCTTGTGATAATACATGCAACAAATTTAATGATAAAAGTACAAATATGCTATATCCATATTGTGATATATTTCTATCGAATTATCTGGTTCAATCAATTGACTCAGTTGGCTAGTAAATCTACACTTCAAAATTGATCAATTTGTCTCTGGCAATGTGTCCCTCTTATTGATTGACATAATAAACTTTCTAAAATTCAAATGATATTCTTAGAATAGGATATTTATAAGACAATATTCTCTTTATATTTATTCAGAGTTAACCTAAATCTCATTTGGTAAAGTGATCTAGAACAATGAAAACTCGATTACTATGGACTAAATAAGTTTAATTCAAATTATACCCATAATAGTTGGGCATTTATAAAATAAAATGATACCAATCTTGGAAATGCTCCACATAAGTAGAAAGTGTGACAAAATTCAACTCATACTAAAAAAAAAATACATTGACTAGAACTTAATAAAACTTGAACTAGTTTCCAACTAAATTGAAATAAGATGTAACTGAAATTAAACTTACACATGCCTGTCTTTCCTCAATTTTTTTTTTATAGAATCCTTATTTACAACTAGGAATGTTAATGGTTTAGGTTGGGTCAAGTTGTATATAGTATGTAGTATGTGCTACAAAAAAGACAACCGAAACATGCCCCATTTAATAAACATGTTAAAAATGCAGATCTTAGTCCATCCTGTTTATTTGTCAAGTGAAACAACCCATCTCATTTAATGTGATTAATAAACAGAATCGTTTGCATCTGACTTACACCTGATCCTTCTTCCTGTCTGATGTTAAGTAACAAAGTCTAGAAAGAAATAAAAAAACTTGTGGACTAAAGCCATTATGAGCAAGAATATATTACCAGCTTTTGAACAACAACTCTTGCAGAATGTTCAAATTAACAAGCTCCTAAAACTGTTAACAAGAATGTATTATAGGTTATGGACAAATTGTACAGAAAAACTACTAAAGCGCCAACAACTGTATTGAGGACTGTTTACATATCACAATTTGCTAAATCGCCAAGTAAAAGAACACAACTATCATAAACAGTTTATATCAGTAATCAATTTCTTGCAAGTAGATATCTTGTCTGACTTACTAGTTTTGCACAGCATGACAAATTTTAAAATGTATCTCCCATAATATTGTTGGGAGATGGTAGAGGCAGAACAGATTGTTGAAACAGTTGATGAATTGCTGTATAAGTAGGAAGTTCACTGGGGATGGGAAATGCTTTATTGCTTCTGCTTCTCCAGTGGAAGAGGAAATTATTTAACAGAGAAAATGAATTGGAAATTGGGTAACTGGTGATACAACTGGATTGTAAAATTGGAAGTTGAAAAATGCTGATACTTATGGCAAGTTTTGAAATCCTACAGTTAAATTGTAGGTCACATAATGCAACTATGATGGGTCATTACATGTTAAATCCACGATTATTCACTAAGGGAAAGACGCAAAAAAGGATTGACAAAAGAAAGATTTTGGTGGTAGAAAAAAAATGATTATGTATTATTTTCATTTCAATGACTATTCCCATATTTAGGTTGATGATGATCGATGGATTGGTTGAAGTTTAGTAAATTTGTAGTGTCTTGTTAGCCTGCAGTCTTTCATGCTTGTTATCCTCTTAACCAAAAACTATCATTTTGCCATTTGTCTGGCTGATTGTCTATTACATACTGATCTTACAGTGCTCTGTCTTGGATTGGCTATTTCTGATCCAAACAATGGAATTTCTATAGAAAATTAGCTGAAACTTTAATGGTCAGCTACCAAAAATGATTGTAAGGCCCCTTTATTTTGGAATGATAATATACGACAGAAGCATGGAGGAGCTCTGGGAGAAAAGAAAATGTTCTTTCCAAGAATTTGATAATTGTGAAAAGGAAAAAAGAGAAGATATTAGATGATTTTGAGAGGAAATAGAGGGGCATAAATACCATGCAAACTCTGGTTTAACGAATCATTCCTCGGGATGAAGATTTCATACTTCCAAACCTCTCCTGCGTGGATAATGGAATTATACCAGGAGATTCTTTTGTTGATCTTCATTAATTCCATACATCTTGAGCATAGCGAAAGAAAAAGAAAATAAGCTAATCCTATTTATAAAATATAGGAATTCTCATACATCAAAGGAAATAAAAAAGTGAAGCTGACAATTAATATCATATTTTATTTATTCATTTTCTTTTGTTAATTTTTTAAATGGCCTCCGCATCATATGCTTTCATTACGTAAAAGCTTGTTTCATGTTAGTGATCCTGATGCTAAGAGCACAATCTTCATCAATTGAAGATGGTGAAGAGCATCAAGGGGGTCTTGCAAAAAGACATATTTTAAGATTTGATAAGTCACAACACATCATGCAATATGCGTTTACCAGTTCGTATGCAAACACTTGTACTTCCAATTTAATTTGCCAAACCTAGATATTCATCTTTCTACCGAAAAAAAGAGCACAAAGAATTTGAAACAGATGAGAAGCAAGGTCTATTGATGATTTTCTGGGAAGTGTTTTTCACATAAATTTGAGTTTCTTGTTTAGTATCTAGATCTGCACTGTTATCTGCAGGAACCCCTTACACGCAGCAATCCTATAAAGTTAGTGAATCATTTCCTTTTAAGTGGATCAATAAAAAGTGGAAAGAAGGTTTTCATGTTACATCCATGACTACTGCTGGCAGCCGCTGGGGGATAGTCATGTCAAGGAACTCTGGCTATTCTGACCAGGTATGATATATTTGCTACTTTCTTGAAAGATAAGATGGCTCATTTGCCAAATTGGGGCTCCTACATGTTAAAGCATCATTTAGTTGTCATGTTCATTGAAAGAAATATCTTGCTCTTCTTAAGAGGAGCGACATGTAAAATATACCGATTATTTAATGCCTTCCAATCTATTAATGCATATACTTTATTAGCAGATTATATACTTTATTCTTGGTATATGTTTTGATAAGATTATTCTAATTTCCTAATTAATCCCATGTTGGAAATGTATAGCGGGTTTGGTTGGTAGATAATGTTTGGTGGACTTGGTACTAGAAACTTTAGACTAAAAGCATTTTGGGCCATGTCATTTAAGGATTTGTTGCATTCAAATTTCTAAGCTAGTGAGCCTGTCACGATGGACTGCAGCAATTATGTTGTTGGGTAAATAAATTATCTAGTCTTGGTATTTGCAGCCTGATCAGGTAGTTTTTTATGCTTAGTCATTGTGTGGTTTATTTTTTGTGATGCAGGTTGTAGAGTTAGACTTTCTTTATCCAAGCGAAGGAATCCACCGAAGATGGGAGAGTGGTTATAGAATAACTTCCACTGCGGCCACTCCCGATCAAGCAGCTTTTATTTTGAGCGTACCAAAGAGAAAATTGATGGATGAGACACAGGAAACTCTTCGAACCTCTACATTCCCGAGCAACCATGTAAAGGTAAACTCATGTCATGAATTATCGCCAGTTAGAATTGCAAATCTTACTCAAGGCTTTATAAACATGTTTGCTTTTCAGATGGCCTGGTCGTCTTTAGTGTATAAAGGGATGCTTAGTTGTCGGCCTTATTTGTCATGCATCTCTGTAATATAGTGCTGATTAGTGCTCTATTCCTTTTAAATGAATTCTTAAGACGTACCTGAATTCTGGCACATTTCATCCTTGCTTTTCATCTCGTGAAAACTTCATGCTCTTGAAAAGCAATCTTATACAGTCTTTTCTTTCTATTCCAAACTCCATGCTTTTGGTTCGTGATCCCTTATATTCTGTTCTTGCTAAGATACTATGTAATTATCATGCTTAATAGTGCAATCTGCATTTTACAGTCAGCCATTTTGTTTATCCCATTGTATTGCCGTAACAGCCAAAGGTCCTTGGAAGGTATTTATTTGTAGTAGTTACCACTTTTTATCATGGTAAATATCGGGGTTCTAACTATACCAATCCCTTTTGAGTATAATATAATAAATACGATACATCACTAAGGAAAATAGTAAATATAGAACGGCAAAACTAACAAACAGTGCTTGAATCTACAGTACATCACAAAGGACACACTATTGTAAAATATTTTGAGATGTGCTGAAGATAATTCTATTTTGCAGGACAAATGGGCAAAGAATCTGTACATTGCTTCGATTTGCTATGGTCGGACAGTGTGCTGATACTTGAGCCGATTACATATTTGTGAAGATAAAAAGATGTTGAAGTCATTCAGATGTTGGAAAGTGTTCGTGAATATGCATCACATATGTAAGTTTTGTTGCAGTTTGCGTTGCTATGAATTGGATTACTTTTTGACTCCTGTCATATATTTTGTGCTTCCCATACTCTATGATCCATATACCTCCCTGTTGTCTCCATGTATCTTTTTGGCAATTGAAAGCTAAGATCAGGCTTTCAGTGTCTGTGGTTCTTTTCCTCATGAAAAATGAAACGAAAACCTATTTGTTTCTTAGCTTCTTAAGAATGAGAGTTAATCCAGATAATACTTGTTGTTTATTCAATGTGTCATGTAAAGTTTAGTTAGGGTTTAATCGATAAGTTCTATTGATGATTGTATTCCACTAAACAAACATTATTTGAGTTCAAGCTCTTCTTGTTTATGCTTGCCCAGTCGTGTATGAATCATCCTCTCTGTTGTAGAACTCAATGATTCGAATCCTCAATATGGTTGGTACCTTTCATGCTTTTTGGCCTCTCACCCAAATCTAGCACTTGATTTTTCCACCCATACTGTTCCCAAAGTCAATCAATAAATATCCTAATCTGGCATTAGCGGAAGTGATATTTATGAGTTAGACCAAAAATTCACAGCCAATTGACATAAAGGATTAGTAAAGTGTTTGTTTTCTTTTCATTTGCATCAATTACAATTCCAATCAATAGGCATCTAAATCTGGCTATTTCATCTCGGTCGAATACAACACCAATTTGTCCACATGACCAAATTGTACTATCAGGTTGAAGCAGCCATGGAATCCAATGTTTCTTGGTAGTCCTTAAAAGGCAGGCTTGTAGAAGTTGCTCTCTTTATGATCAATTCAGTATAGAGATTCCTGCCTGCAATTCTAACCATCATAATTCATATTTTCAAAGAAATACCAAAACAGATACCCATCACAAAAGCTTCCAACATTGGTCTTAAATAGCATTAGAATGCAGCAAATTGACAAATGTGTAGCCTAAGGAACATCCAAAATTATCCATCACACCAGCCTAGTGTGTAACACGGAATGGAATCACTAATGCAGATATCAACCGTTGGAAATCCAAATCGAAACTAACACAAACAGCGGCGGCAGAAACAGAAGTCTAAGCCCTTGGATGCCGAGTTTTTTGAGGCATCCAAGGTCTCTTAGTTCATCACTCATCGCTTTTTCGAGACACCGACGGTCTTTCCTCTCCTGCCAGTAGTTTTTGTGTGCTGCCCTCGAACTCGAAGACCCCAGAAGTGACGAAGACCCCGGTGGTTCCTGCAAACGAGAAGATTACCACACTGAGTAAGTTTTGTGAAGCTAACAGCAAAATTCTATGGCACGTTTGTGATTTGACCAGAAAACAAAATAGATCGTACCACTAACTATGGCATGGCATTACCCACCACCAACAACATGTCAATTGTCAACACTAACTAGGAACACCAATTATTGAACTCAAAGTTTGAATTGGAATCTAAGCAGGCAGTAATGTCACAGTTAATGTTTGTCACAGTTATTGAACTCAAACTCAAAGTTTGTCAACATGTCAATTGTCAACACTAACTAGGAACACCAATTATTCAACATGTCAAGTGTTGAATTGTCAACACTAACTAGGAACACCAATTCATCACAGTTAATGTTTAAATCTTAAGAGTGAAAACTGCAATTTTGACTGTAACATGCAGTTCAAAAGCACATTATATGACAGTCATCTTAGCTATCTCGGTTGCTATGAGACAGACAATTCCTTCTTATTTCAACCAAAAGACAACCACAAGCAATGACAGCAGCACACAGGCGTATCAACATTAAATAAATGTTTGAGGGTGTTTATAAATATACAGAAAATATACAAGGTTTAAACTCAACATCCGTTCCCAATGGAGTTTTGCTGTTACCACAGTTCTATTCTAGGTTTCAAAAGTCTTGGTTAAAAGAATGGAACAGCAAAGGAAAATTATAATATTCATGATAATTTGACTTGTCAAGAAGGGCATCACTATGGGACATGTCGATAAGGATACTTTAGCATCAAGCGGATCGCGAAATATCAACTAAGCAAGCCAAAATTATGATCAAGTACAACAGTCATTTCCATGTTTGCTCACTACCAAGTGTCAACTGTAGCACACAGCAATAGACTACCAAGCAAAATATTGGTGTATATGCAAGGTACAACTCTTCCTAACACATAATTCCTTGTACCTTGTTAACTCCTATTGCAAGTATTGGCACACTAACACAAAAGACTCAACACCACATAATAATAGGAAGTTCACCCATACACTAAGCTGATGACCCTAATACACAACTGATAGATTGGTGACTAAATCAACTTTCAAGTAAGGTTTCTCCTGACTGACTGTGGAAAAAGAAAAAAGACCCTTCTTTGAAAACAGCTCAAAATTACAGTCTAGATGTTTACTTAAAACAATTAGATTTACAGAAGGACACAACTGAGTTCCCTTAGGGATCAAAAGGCATTGGTTGTATCACTAAGATAGCAGGCTTATATGTTAATGACATGAGTCAAACTTTATAACTAAATGCCATTAAATCAAAAAAATCTCAGCACTTGGGGTACACAAATGAATGAATTCTTAACAAATTGCCAATATGAATAAACTCCTGGCAACAACCAGTTAAAGTGCTTATAAAGCACTACTCCAAGGAATAATTAAAGGACTAATGGTAAACACAGCCAATAGCAAACAAAATGACTAAATAGCCAACCTTATTTTCTTGAGACGCTCCAGATCATCCCTAAGCTTCATGTCCAGAGAATTTGAAACAATCTGGGAATACCGACCATCCTTGTAGTCTTTCTTCCTGTTCAGAAACCAATCCGGGATCTTGAACTGGCGTGGATTGGCTACAACAGTCATAAGGTTCTCAAGCTCGGCAGCTGAGAGCTCTCCAGCCCTAAAAGTAGCGTGAAAGAGGTATCAAACATCAGCATAAGAGGTCAGATTGAACCAAGAGCAATCAACTTAGTTTCCTGCACTGATTACAAAAAGACAAAATCAAGGACCAGATTGAGCAATTAAGCAAAAACTACATTCAATTAAAAGGAGTTGAACAGATTAAAAAAAGGCCCAAATTTGTGGGGGAACACGCCTACATCTCAAGAAATCTCAACAATTGACGTCGGACCATGAGGCTCGAGATCTCAAACCAAAGAATCTCTCCAGCAAGATTGAACATAAAAACACCTACCTCGCCAATAGCATTAATCTTATACGCTAAAAGAAACACACAACTAAGAGACAATGACATCAATGGAACTGCAACATTCGAGCACGCAAGAATACGTCCCAACTATAGAAAAAGAAATCAAAAGAGGACCTTTTGTTCATGTCCACGTCGGCCTTCTTGCACACGATGTTGGCGAACCGGCGGCCGATACCCTTGATGGAGGTAAGGGCAAACATGATCTTCTGCTTCCCATCGACGTTGGTGTTGAGCACACGGAGAATGTGCTGGAAATCCTCGTTCGCGACCAGCGACTGCAGATCGACAGCCAAACACGAGAAAACATCCACCGATCACAAGAAATCGAGCTGGAGACAGAAGGAACAAGGAGAGAGTATTCAACACGAGCACCAACCATGGCGAACGCGACGGCCCGGTGCCAACGGCTACGATCTCTCTCCACGCCCTTCTTCTACTACTGCTCTCTCGAGCTCGCGCCGGAGGAATAGAGGCGAAGGCAGGAAGATGTCGTTATAAAGCCATGGGAAACCCTAAAGGAAGATCGGACGGCTGGTGATTCACGGAGGTTTTATCGACTAATTGGGCCGTTCCGGGCTGTTCGCGATGGACCGGACCGGACCGGACTTGACCGGCCTTTTGATAAGGTTTGATGGACCATATTGAACACTGTGACAAGTTTTCATTGGGTCAATTAACTTTAATCTTGTGTTAATTTACTTATAAGATTTATTCTATGTTTCATACAAATTCTGTCAGTGCATAAAATCAAAGGTAAACAAATGTCAAATTTGACCATTTATATCTGAAAAGAAACTAAAAACCTGTTGAGAATTAGCAGAAAAAATAATAAATTGTTATACATTATATAGTAATAAATAATACATTTCAATGTGATAAAATTTAAGGACAAAAAAAAATGTAAAATAGTTTTCTTTCTCATTTACTCTGTAATTCATCTTTGGCCATTCATGTTTTTTTTTTCTGCAACAAAAAAAATATATTATTCTGTATCAGCTGAGTATACATTCCTGTTTATAAGAACAATATATTTCCTAAAAAATAAAAGAAAAATTATTCCCAAAGCAATGGGAGAATTAAGGAAACATTGATGCAAAGAGTTTTTTATCCCTTAAAAAATAAGATTCTTTGTTGTGACCAACAACTAAATTTAATTATCTTTGTCATATATTCTTATTTATTTGTTTATGTGATCCCGATATTTATGTTATGTGATAGGAATGTTTTTTTCGATATTGTTTTGTTATTCACCATATCTCTTATTCATATGGTGTCGGATTCGTTGAACTTAGTCGAGAATATTGTCATGGATAATCCACCACCTCGACTCATTCTGAATATTGTTAGGAGCATCTTGCATATTTTCGCATGCTCGAAAGGAAGACGGTAAACCTGCAAATCGATTACCTCTCCATGTTAGGTTGGGTAAACTCACTTATACCTCTTTCATTACAATATAGTTATCAATTCATCCTAGCAGTTAGTTCCATAGCAGTCATCTGTTAGCATTAGCAGAATTCTCAGTAAAGTGAACTTCTGAAATTGCATTAATATCTGACTTAAAAGTGCCATCAATTCATATTCCCATGATACCTCAAATGGTTATAGAATGAGGCTCCCAAGAAACCAGATTTCAAGAAAAAGAAAAAAAGAGCATTTTGTAAATATTATCTCCCCATAAAAATCATATTCATTCAACAATAGCTAACATATCGGTATGTGCCAATGAGATACAGTCCTAGAGCAGGCTCTCCAAACATAAAACCACTATTACCACACTTTGCAATCAAACATTTATCAAGACAGATAATGAAGGTTTACAAGACGGGGATCGACGCAAAAACAATCAAATATATTTCTCAGGGCTCAAAGGTCATTGATTCAGCTTCTTTCTTGATTGACTCGAAAAGCACAGAGGAAAGATAGCGTTCTCCGAAACTTGGGAAAACAACCTGGGCCAACAAAGGTGAGCTAATTAGTAGCTTGAATCCTCATGATCAAATCTAAATAGATCAGCAGGTAAAGGTACAGAAACAAAGTGATATAAAAGATGGAAGGAAGCTACATCAAGTACTGATTTACAATTCAGATTGTAAGACTATCTTCAGACATATATGTAAATAAGCAACGGCTTGTTGATTGAAAGATCATGACCAAGCGCTACCATGAAAATATGTTCACATGCTGTAAGATGATAATTGAGAGTAGAATAGACAATCAAATGACTTAGCTTCAAATAAAAATCAAATGTTTCATATTCCATCGATGGCTAGACTAATTCAAATTCTCAGTGAAAATTGCAGAATCTAAACTTATTTTAGCAGCAGTTCAGAAAATACTATAGCAAATGAATTCTAAAATACTAAAAGGACATGGATAGAGCTTTAGTTACATTCTTGAACTTCTAATTTGATTTACTCATAGTTTCTGTTAACCTATTCAAACAGTTGTTTCTTGCAGTTATTAATATGGTTGAACATGAACAATGTATAGAGAATACATATGAAAGGAAAGGAAAGGAATTCAATAACTCACAACAATCAGCTTTCCCTCATTTTCTGGTCTCTGTGCAAGTTTGATAGCAGCAGCAGCAGCAGCCCCAGATGAAATTCCAACCTACAATGGTTACCATGAGAAAAAAAATTGTGTCAAAAACTTTGAGCAAGCGAATGAGCCGTGTTCTTGCTCTTGTTGATTGAGATATTAACAAAAAAACCAAGATTTTGCCAAAACTCACCAGCAACCCTTCTTTCAAAGCAAGAAGCTTTGCTGTCTCAACAGCTTCATCACTTGAAATCTGATTAATCATGAAATTGATAAAGACGATATGTTGTTAGAATTTATTATAAAATCTTTGAGAAGAACTATAACTAGTTGATCATGCCGAGTCATCAATTTAACAGGCTAACTACCTGAGAATAACTTAAACAATAGTTCTGTAAGCTTACTTGGATAGTTTCATCGATTAGATCCACATTAAGAACAACAGGAACAAAACCAGCTCCTATTCCCTGAATTTTATGTGGTCCTGCTCCATAAATCCATTCATATCAGATTCAACATGATAATTTTTTAAGAAAAAAAAACAGAAACTTCCATAGCATGTCCCAATTTATATTCTCCAAAAATGCTAGAAATTAACCTCCTTGAATCAAATAGATAGTATAAGTGGAAATATGCTCTTGTTCAAAAGATCCAAATGAATATCAGAACATTAGTAAGTTATTACAAGACATTATCATAAAAAGGTAAGAAGAAAGTTGTTATAGGAAAAACACATTGTATAATAAAAAACTATTAGTTCCTTTTGTGTCAGACCATTCACCCAAACTCCAGTAAAGCAAGAATTGAGGAGCTTACAGTGTCAAGATTCTTATGAAACTGATAATTCAAAGTATAACTCAATATCCCGACTATGTTGTTCTCTTGTCATTCAAACAAGCAATATTATGAGACAATAGATCAATTATCAAATGCATGATATGAATTGAACTTTGGCAACTAAGACTGCAAGGATACATAAAAGAAGTTATTTTGGTCAACACATACTTTGACACATGCATAAAAATTTGTAGAGCTATTGATTATCAAATTTATCAAATCATTAAAAAGTCACTCAGATAGATTAGCTGGAAAAAGAAGGTAGAGCAACAAAGAAGCAACTTTACTCATATTCACAAGAAATGAATATTTGACGGAAAGCCATTACTGTAATATTCTTTCCTGGCCCAGTGTGGTGAATTAGTGCATATTTCAAATTGGCAAACAAATGAAAACCCCTTATATTTCATTCATATAGTCATACATGATCAAATAACAAATCCACTCCCAAGAAAGTAAATAAAGAACAATCAAGATAATAACTCACCAGGTTTCCCTCCAGATAACACAGCACTTTCAACTGGCTCCACTCCATACAACTAAAACAGTGCAGAATTCATACCAATTCAAAACAAGTGAATCATAACAGTTAGAAATATTATATACATGTAGAAAATCTTTTGATATGGACATAAAACTGTTGATATATAATGTAGATCAACTGACCTTGATGTCTGGATTTTGCTCTTTCAGATATCTCCCTGCTCCAGTAATTGTACCCCCGGTTCCAATACCAGACACCAGAGCATCAACTTTACCACCTGTTCCTTTCCATATCTCAGGTCCAGTTGTCTCATAATGAATCTGCAAGCACCAAAAAGGTGCATCAATATGTCTAAAACCATCATAAAAGTCCATGTAACATCTACCTTTGGATTTGCTGGATTTTCAAATTGTTGAAGGATATATGAATTTGGTGTTTTTGCAGCCAACTCTTCTGCCTTCTTAACAGCTCCTTTCACACCCAAACTAGGATCAGTCAGGAATAATTCAGCACCAAAAGCTTTAAGAATGGTCCTCCTTTCGAGGCTCATCGAGGCCGGCATTGTTATCGCAAGCTTGTAACCCTTTGCAGCAGCTATGAAGGCCAGCCCTATTCCAGTGTTGCCACTAGTAGGTTCAATCAGGACGCTCTAACAAAAATAACAATGGAAGACAAATGAGCATGTCAGTGAAAGTTTTGATCAGCCATTTCCAATTATCAAGTATTTGAATTAAGAACAATAAGTTGCAATGCCCTATATAATTAGAACATATAATCTACAATGTAATTTGTAAAAGCAAGATAGATGGCATGTCTTATGGCTTCCATTTATGGCAAATCTTCTTCTGTAAACGAAATTGTTAAAGACACAGGTAATAACCTACAGCTCATTGATTTCCTCAAAGATCATGCATTGTGTATATTTTGGATTTTGGTTTGCCAGCCTTTGCTTCAATTATAATTGATGAAACAGATTAATTAAAATGAAAAATGGCTTACCTTCCCAGGTTGGATAAGCCCTCTCTCCTCTGCATCAGCAATCATACTGTACCCAATCCTGTGCACAAAGAATTGATCATTGTATAAAATTAAATTACAAAGAACGATCCATTCCCTCCAACATGAATGAGGAACAAATTGTGAGTACCTGTCCTTGACACTGGAGCAGGGCTCCATGCCCTCCAACTTGGCAGCAACATGAGCCACGCAGCCAGTGGTGACATTGTTGAGGTAGACCAAAGGAGTTCTACCAATTAACTGTCCATCCACCATGTCAAATCCACCACACGAGACAAGAAGAAGAAGAAGAAGGGGAAGAGGATCACAGAACTCACTTCAGTGATGTCCTTTGCAATCGTACCGGCTTCGCCCATCGTTCAAATCACCTGCAACAGTGTAAAAAATCCATTTTTTCAACGGGAAAACATATGTTTGCAAAATTCCAACATCGAAAATTCTAAAGCGGAAGAGGGGAGAGATCCTACAGAGAACACCAAGAATCTAAAGCGGAAGAGAACCTACAGAGAAGCAGAGAACACGAAGCCTTCACGATAAAAAGCCTTCCTTTCGAACCACGAGAGGAGAGCAGAGGAGGAGACGAGAGGCGGTGATGGAGACGG